GTTTGGTGGTTTGTGCCTCAAAACCATCGGTGGCGGGGTATGACCGGTTTGGGCCTCAAAATTGGAGAGTGGCGGATCGGCGGATACGTGGTGGCATCTCGAAGCTTGCGTCAAGGCGAAGCGATGTCGAGAAGGTGCTGGGTCCGTTGGATTGATGAAGAAAAACTTGGACGAATTTACCCCTAGCAGGTATTTGAGATGAGTACTTCATGTGAGGGTGTTTTTGTCTTTTGACGGATGCCTGTATATATATGAAGGGACTTGTTAAGCAGCTATCCTAGCGTTGAGAGGAGGCTGGGTTAGAGAGAGGAGTGGCTCTTGTTCTTGAGTTTTTTTTTTGTCATCTTAGCTTTGGTAGGCTAGGAGTGGCTTGTAATCTGACCTCTTGAGCTAATCCAATGATCAAATTCGTGCTAAACTTGTTGTCCTCCCCAATTCTAGGTTTTTTTTCTTTTTCAGTGGTTTTCGGAGTTATTTTTTGGCATTTTTTTGTTACGTCGATTTGAGTCCAAATCGGTTCGTTCTTTCTGCATTGATCGGTGCTATGACATGAGTCGAAGCTATCCTAAGAGTTAATTTGATTGAATCGACTCGAGCACGGAGAAATCGACGATTTTCGTTTTGGGGGACTTTTTCGTGTTCTTGACTCAGATCTGAAATTTTCTGGAGATTGGTTAGAAATTGGGCGATGATTCTTTCGGGATAGCTTACTCACTTCCTTGTGATTCTCTGTGCAAAGTTTGAGAACGAATCTTGGAGTATTTGGTGCCGCTCCCTTCTGTTTGTTCTTCTGTTCGTAGCCCATCGGGTCCCTGTGCGTCCAGCACCGGTGCGGGCAGGGTCGATACAGAGCAGTACCTTGCCGCCCTCCTGCAGCCGCGTCAAGAACAGGATCCGATCGGTGCTTGTGCTCCTTTCTCTGTGTGCGTCGGAGTGCAGCACCTCCGTTGGTTCTTCTCGCTCGTGTAGGTCCAGCCGAGGATCACTGGGTTCGTAGGCACCGGTCGGTCGCAGGCAACCCAGGTGGCCAGTCCACCAGCAGCGCCTCGCGTTCCTGCGCCGAGTCGAGCACAGCCCAGGCCGAGCGCTTGCTTTTTCGTTTGTGTGCCGTGCGTTGCTCCCTCTCGGCTGTGTGGAGACCTGCTGCCGATTCCTACCTCTCTCCTTCTGCTCTTCGCGTACGTGAGCTCCGGGCCGCAAGCTGCTGCCTCTGCCTTAGCATTGTTCGTTTGGGCTTATTTGCCTGATAAGTTATGGCTGAAAGTATGATTGGTTGATTTGGTGTGAGAGAAAAATATTATTCATTAGTTGAAAAACTACGATTTATAAACCAAACAAGCTCAAGCGAACAGGGTGAAGCCCTTGTTGAATGAAACTTTGCTCTGCTGGGTTGCTGTTCCTACTTCAGGCACTTGTGCATGGGATCCAGTAGCAGCAGGAGCAGCTTGCAGATAGATTTCGAGAGGCAAGTGCAGCAGCCCGTGCTTGCCTCCTTCAGATTATGATTGGTCTTAAGCTTTGTTCTTCATCCGTGATTTACTCAAGCAATTATTGGTTAATCATTGTAGCATTAAATTATCTTTTTGCTTGGAATAGTATTCACGGTTGAGAATTCATGGCCTTTCTCTCTCTCCTGGAATTTCCGGTCTATAATTCCCGACCTAGCTGTTTTGTCCGCTTCTTGCGCGTTTGAGCTCCGTTTCGATTTCCGTCTATTGCATTGACTTTGTGGTGTCCTGCTGTGTTTCTAGGAAATATCCACCCACTCATTTGTGTCGTAGACATCATGTTGTTTGTTTCATATGTTTGGCGGTGATTTTGGACGGTGGTCAAAAGTTTCGTGAGAAATTTTATGGCTCGCATTCACCCCAACACCCCCCCCCCTCTCTCGTCGCTGTTTTCGGTCCTTCAATATTTAACTCTATACCAACACATAAAAGTTTACGTCTACATATTTTAGTGCTTTGCATCGGGAGAAAAAAGTCTACGAAGATTGTACTTTAATTAATTCGATACAAGCTTAATAAACATTGTCATATTATTACCGATGTCAACTTAAATTATGAAGATCGTAGTCATCATAAAACAAATTAGAGATCTCAAATTTCATAGAAATGTAAAACATAAATAATATAGCATTCCCTATCCTCATTTTTCATAAATGTAATAGATATTTTTATTTTCTCCCGTTATAATGTATGAACATGTTTGCTAGTAATGTTAAAGAGTAAGGCGTTGCTTTCAACCCGCTTTTTACTTCTAAAAATTATGGCCTTGTTTAGTTGGCAAATTTTTTTGGGAAATGGTACTGTGGCACTTTCGTTGTTATTTAGCAATTAGTGTCCAATCATAGTCTAATTAGGCTTAAAAGATTCGTCTCGTGAATTTCGTCTAAACTGTGTAATTAGTTTTATTTTTTATTTATATTTAATGCTTCATGCATGCGTCCAAAGATTCGATGTGATGGAGAATCTTGAAAAATTTTGCAAAATTTTGGGAACTAAACAGGCACGTACCCTTGCGCACTTCATTCGTCCGTCAAAATCCCCGGTTCCTAATAATGTACACGGCTCGTCATATCGTGTGGTGATGGTTTAGGGTCAGGTTGGCCTAGCACGAGGTAACGCGAGAAGAGTTATATGTCTGTTCCTGCACAGATTCGGCTGCCTTTGAGGAAAACACAAGGATTATTATAATACCACGAGGATTTGCAGGAAGAGGGCTGGGCCGCCGTTGCTTGGTTAGGATAATAACATGGTTGTCATCGGTGATGTGAACCAGCAGCAAGGGTGAGCTCTGACAACTCGCCGGTGGCCGCACCGTGCCGCGGCTCCCCTACTCAAGAACTCACTGCCGGATCGATGGGCATGTCCAACAACAACGCCGATTGGTGTGGTCGTCGGCGTCGAGGACGTGGTTGCAGCCTGGAGCAATCTCGACAAGAGTGGCTTGCTGGCTTGCCAGCGATTGCGCCATGCCCCACGCACCTACTTTTGTTAGCCTGGAGCAAAAATAGTATATGCCTACATTTTTTTTTCCCCTAAAAAAATTACATGCCTATTTGCTCGACAAAATATTTCTATCATCTCCACCAACTTGTTGGCCAACCATGCATGCAGAGTGCCTTGTACAACTGCCGAATGTATATTAAATTCCATGGTTACCTATCACACGTGCTCCTCGTGATCACGACCGCCTCGTACATATGTCATGGTGTTTTGTTTGTCGACAAACTTGGATTGCTTCAACACTTTCCCCTCTAGTGTGCCATTCGTGGAACATCGCTGTAACTTTTATTATTTCTTGTCTTAATACAAAGATGCACAAACCTTTGTGTATTCAAGAAAAAAAAACTTGAATTACTTCCATCACACTCCGGAGTATGCAACAATCCATATCTTCTATAAAATAAAACCTCTCTATCTTTCAATCTTCATAAAGAAGATGATATCCACGTGTCATACTCTACTACCCACTATATTTCAATCTCCACATGCAAACTATCCACGTGTCATACTCCACTAAGTAACACACCATCTTCCCTAATAAGTACCACATCATCTCCCTTAATAAGTGCTACAATATTTTTCACTAAATGCAATTACTATTTTTAGTCTATCAACATACAAGGCATCCCAAGCTGTACTATTGGTTTGGTCATCACATTTCTACTATAATTCGATCTAAAGTGATTTATTTGATTTTTCATTAACTTACTCAATTTTGACAACATATATCATACATGCAATGGTACAATTATTTTATTTCTAAGAAAATCTCGCAGCCCATCACGCCGAAATGACAGTTGATCTAAAAGTCATATCCTTTCTGAGTCCTAGATAGCTACCCCTCCGTCCACAAAAGAATGCAATTCTCGTTTTTCGAGAAGTTAAACAGTTTCAACTTTGACTAAATTTGTATAAAAAATTACTAACATTCATCATATAAAATAAATACCATTAGATTCGTCATGGAATATATTTTCACAAAAAAATATTTAGAGACATAAATGCTAAAACTATTTACTGTAAAGTTGGTCAAACATGAGCTAACTTGACTGGCACGATTCTCATAATTACATTCTTTTGTGGATGGGGGAGTATCTCAAAATTGGCGAGGTTTATAAATAGTGTGGCATACACAAGGTAGCAAGTGGCAGGTTAGAAGGCACGTAGCAGCTGAAGGCAGCTGAGGGCTGAGGCCATGCATCAAACAATCATGCAAGTCCTTCTACTGCTCCTGTTGGTTCTCCCGGTGGTCATCATGATCGTCCGGCGTTCGATCAAGGAACGCCTGGTGGTTCTAACAAGTAAGCCACAATTTATGTTCATGGATCGCACATCACCCGGCGTGCAGCAACGCCGATGCTCCTTCTCCAACCGCACGCCATGGCCACCTTCAAGTCCGTTCTAACAAGTAAGCCACAATTTATGTTCGTCACGGATTGCGCCACGGCACATCACCTTCTAAAGAGGAGGTGGGGCAAGCGGCACACGCCGCCGGTGGCGGCTCCTTCTCCAACCGCATGCCGTCCATGTCACCCAGCGCCTTCCTCTCCGGCCCGACGTCGAGATGCTCTACACCACAACATCACCTCGGCACCCTCATGATTCCAGCTCTGGCGCACCCTCCGCCACAACACCTTCCTCTCCGGGAGTCCTCCATCCAACGCACCCCACGGCCAGCCTGCACCGGTCCGCCACGGCGGGAGTCCTCCATCCAACGCGTCAGGCGCTACGGGGCCTCATCGCGGACCTCAGGGAGCAGCAGCTCACCAACGGCGTGGCGCTCGCCGCGGAGAGCATCCGTGGCGCGGTGTTTCCCGTCATCTCCACCATTTGCGGTTCGGCGACGGTGTGACGTCGAGATAGACGACGCCGGAATTATACCGTCGGGTCCGCGCGAAGATATTAATAGGTATATATGACAAGAATTTTATATAATCTCCTCTTAATATAAATAAAAAATAGATAGCCAGCCCCTTGGCTCCGTCAGTGGTCATGGCCCTATCTACGATGCGCATATTCATGTCCATGTCCGTGCCGTTCCAGGTGGCGTCTAGGCTTATCTACCGCAAGCGGTGGAACAAGCTGGCCGCGATACGGCAGAAGCAGGAGGAGCTGTACCTCCCGCTCATCGATGGCTGCCGCAGCCATCGCCGGCACTCTGACGAGGCACTGACCTATGTGCACACGCTCCTCGACCTCCGTGTCCCGGTAGAACTCGAAGCAGATGAGGCAGGTGCTGCTGGGGGAAAGCAAAGGCAGCAGCGGAGGCTCGAGGACGGTGAAATCGTGGGACTCTGCTCGGAGTTCCTTGGTTCCTCGACTGAAACCACTGTCGCGTCACTGCAGTGGATCATGGCGAACCTGATGAAACGCCCAGGGATACAGGAGGCCGTCCGGAGGGAAATCGAAGCTGCTGTGGACGCCGATGCTGAGGAGGTCGGGGAGGAGGTTCTTGGGAAGCTAGACTACCTCAATGCTGTCATCTTGGAGGCCCTCAGGCTGCATCCCACCACTGCCCGGGCATTTAGGCAGGTAAGAGCGCCTCTGGTGGTACCAACTAGCAATATACAAGCATTCATACGTTCTTTTTATCATTATATCCACTCAATGAAATTAAATACAAGGTATAGTTATTTCAATTAATTGTTTTCATTCATTCAGTTGCAATGCACGAACGTTTTTGATTTATAACTATATAAGATTATCTAACCAATCTCATGAATATGAAAAAAACAGGTGATGCAAGAAGACCAAGTGGTTGATCATGATGGCCAACGAATTCCTGCGGGTACCACTATGGTCTTCGTATTGGATGCTCTAGGGCGAGACAAGACGGTGTGGGATGACCCCGAGGAGTTCAAGCCAGAACGTTTCCTAGCATGTGGAGGTGGAGAAAGCACCAAGAACCTATTGTCGTCCATGGCGGGGGAGATGAAGATTATGCCTTTTGGGATCGGGCGGAGGATGTGCCCTGCAATAAGCATGTCGTTGCTCCACATTAGCTACTTCATGGCAAACCTTGTGAGGGAGTTTGAGTGGGGTGAAGTGGAGGGTGAGCATGCCGTCCAACTACACACGGACCCTAGAATCGAGATGTTCAATGTCACTGCAGGGAAAACGTGATTTGGCGAGTGCAAAAATCTTTGCCGAATACCAAATTTCGGGCACTCGACAAAGACCTAATTTGCCGAGCGCCACACTCGGCAAAATATGGCACTTAACAAAGATCTGCACTTGACAAAGGATGTCTCAAAGGTAGACACTTGGCAAAGATTGGTAGGGGCCTAAAGGCATCCAGCGGCGTCCTCTTTGCCGAGTGCCCCCCGTTTGGCACTCGGCAAAAAAAATAATTGGTTTTTTACCACCAATTTTTTTTAAAGCTTTAGTATACTACCACAAACAACATGTTTAAATTTGGGACATTTTCATTGCCTTTTGGCATATTTCTATAGTTTATTTTGTTTTGTTGATTTTTTTTTCAAAAAATGTAAGTTTGAACTACAGGTGCATCGAATAATGGATTACATTCGTTCAAAAAATGTTATCCTTGTTTCTTAGTGTAAATTTAGACTAAATCCAGGATCTGTTTTGAAATTTCGATCAACGTGCTCACGGGGCAACACCGCCAACTTGCGTGGGAGTGGTTTTTTAATTGTATCAAATCACGAATGAATGAAAATCATGAAACTTGTCGATGCATTAAACTATACCGTGGAAAATTTTGAAAATTTTTTGCACGTTGTACGTCACGATGCTCACAAGGATCACATGTGGAGATGTCATATGCGTACAACTCGACAAGTTTCAATTTTTTTGAATTCGCTTTTGATTTTATCAGATTTTATACAATTAAAAAACCACTCCCACGCAAGTTGGATGCTTTGTGAGCACGTTGATCAAAATTTCGAGATGATCCCGGATTTAGCCTAAATTTACACTAAGAAACAAGGATAACATTTTTAAACGAATGTAATCCATTATTCGATGCACCCGCAGCTCAAACTTACATTTTTCGGAAAAATTCAACAAAACAAAATAAACTATAGAAATATGCCCAAAGGCAATGAAAATGTCCCAAATTTAAACATATTGTTTGTGGTAGTGTACTAAAGCTTCAAAAAAAATTGGTGGCAAAAAACCAAAAAAAATATTTTGCCAAGTGCCGCCCAGCTGACACTCGGCAAAGAGCTGCTGATTTTTTTTAAAACTTCGTCGAGTGCCAGATCACGACACTCGGCGAAGAAAATTGACTTTGCCGAGTGCCGCCGATCTGGCACTCGGCAAAAGCCTGCCTTCTCCTTCACCGCGCCTGGGTGGCGCTCTCTCTCTATTTCTCTCATTTCTCTCCTCTCTCTCTCTCTCTCACCGCCATTGCGCAGACCACGGTGACCGTCCCCTCCATCCGCGCCCCCCGCCGGCCACTGACACGCGGGCCCCGTGGCGCCCGGCCCCGGCCACATGCAGCTCCAGCTGGCCCCATGGCCTCCGCCCCGGGCACCGCCGCCCATTGCAGAGAGAGAGGAGGAGGAGGTAGGGGAGAAGAGAGGAGAAGGGGAGAAGAGAGGAGGGGAGAAGAGAGGAGGACAAGGAGAAGGAGAGGAGAAGGAAGGTGTCGGCCTAGGCCCGTCGACCCTCACGTCATTGCGGTCGTCCCCGCCGTCGTCGCCGACCCTCGTTGTTGCCATTCTCGTCACGAAGGTATGCCCTACACCTGTAGTAGTTAGTAGTAGTACTTAGTAGTGTTAGTAGTAGTTAGTAAGTAGTAGTAGTTAGTAGTTAGTAGTGTTAGTAGTATTGTTAGTAGTAAGTAGTGATAGTAGTAGTGTTAGTAGTAGTAGTGTTAGTGTTAGTAGTTGTTGTAGTGGTAGTAGTACTTGTTGTTGTACTACTTCGATACTTTCATCTGCATGGAAAGAGAACTAAAGTACATGGCTCATCTTGGTATATATATGTTTGTTGGCCTTCATGCCTATGTTTGGTATATATGCTGTTGTTGGCCATTGCGCCTACGTTTCTTGCAGGTTTTGGAAACCTCCCCGTGCAGGGGAGGTGCTGCTGAAATTTTCAATGGATTCTAACCTATTGCCTTTTTATGTAGGAGAGGACCCGTGGGAGGGACTCGGCGACCCCGGTCATCTTCGTCGTTGGCTTGCTTTGGTGCGCCTACACCTTTGCATCTCCTCGCCACTTGCATCACACGCCACGCCTTGCCCGCTTAGCTGACTCCACCGCCACCCTAGGTATAACCCCCTCCTCCTTTGCATGCATGTTTTATATGGTCACGTAGCCCAGTTAGGCGTCTCCCGTTTAAAAGAAATACGGTCGGAGGTATGCAGATCTTTGCATATCAGTGACCATATCTCTTTCGGATTGTCCATATATTTTAGACAGCCCGCGGATGCATAGATGAGGTTAGTTTCCATGGTTCGCTCCGGTCGAGATAGACTTTCGGCATCACCTCCCTGTTGTTCTTCGGATACACACTCTCCCTTGCAGGACATGTATCGGGAGAATAGCGGGGAGGTGCTACCGAAATTCTGTCTCGGATAGGAGCGGAGCATTGAAACTGACCTCATCTACGCATCCGCGGGTGGGATTAGGACCTATCCTCACCTATTAGATGGTAGAAACGCCATGCAGATGCAATTGCTGGTTATATTACTCGCTTACATATGTATATGCCAGAGGATGGAGAACCATGATTGGATGTACATGGGCCACACAAGTATGACCCCAGAATGGATGACTAAGACTAATGCTTTCTTGGAGCATTCATTTGGCGAGGTTGCTAGAGGGTCGAGTCGAATGCCATGTCCCTGCAGCAAATGTGACAACCGTGTAAGAAAGAATAGGAACAACATGGGGGAAGATCTTTGCAAGTATGGATTCATGCCAAACTATACCTGCTGGATCCACCATGGTAAAGCCGATCGTATTAGAGAGGAGGTGGTGAGACCACGCCTCGAGGCTTTTGATGGAGATGCCGGGGTAGCAAACTAGATGGATGACTTTCAAGAGGCATGGTTCGGTGAAGGATTAGAGGATGAGCCAGAGGAATCCGCAAAGGCGTACTACGATATGCTGTCTTCGGCACAGAAGCCCCTTCACAAAAAGACAATGGTTTCGCAACTGGATGCCACTGGACGCCTAATGGCGTTCAAGTCACAGTGTAGCATGAGTCGAGACAACTTCGATGGTATGTTGGCAGTTGTTGGATCCCTACTTCCGGAGGGTCACATTCTGCCAAAGAACTTGTACGAGTCACAGAAACTTCTTCATGCCCTTAAGATGCCGTATGAGCACATCCATGCTTGTTTGAATGGTTGTGTCCTATTTAGGAAAGATCATGAGAAAGCAACGCACTGTCCAAAGTGCAAATCCTCTAGGTATCTGGAGGTCGACACTAGTGATGGCAAGAAGGAACAGCTTGGTATCCTCGCGAACATCCTACGGTACCTTCCTGTCATACCTAGGATCCAACGGCTATATATGACAGAGGAGTCCGCGAAACAGATGACATGGCACAAACATGGCAAAAGATACAATGCTGACAAGATGGTACACCCATCGGATGGCGATGCATGGACCCATTTCGATGGCATACATCATGGTAAAGCTGAGGAGGCTCGGAATGTACGTGTAGCACTGGCAACAGATGGGTTCAACCCCTATGGATTGCTGGCGGCCCTGTACACTTGTTGGCCCGTGTTCGTGATATCTCTCAATCTCCCCCCCCCCCGGCGTCATGTTTCAACCCAAGAACATATTCTTGTCACTAATAATTCCTGGACACCCGGGGAACAAGATGGGTTTGTTCATGGAGCCTCTCATTGATGAATTGATCCTTGCTTGGGAAAAGGGGTGCTTGACATACGAACGTTGAGCTACAAAGAAGAACTTCACAATGCATGTGTCGCATTACCACTACTCCCCTGCATGACTTCTGGCGTATGGCATATTTCAGCGTGGTGTGTTCACGGGAAGTTCCCATGACTAATATGCAAGACAATTTGTGAGGTTCACTTGGTCAAGAGGGGTGGCAAGTTTTCTTCGTTTCACCAACATCGTCAATTCCTCCTCTTGACCATCCATTCGCACGAGACGTCAAGAACTTCAGAAAGGGGTTCAAGTCACCGACCCTGCACCTCAGATGATGACCGGTGCCGAGGTTTGTGCTGAGATAGAGGCTCTCAAAGATGATAAAGAGAAAGGTGGTTTTATTGGATATGGTGAGGAACACCAGTGGACTCATAAATAGGGCTTGACTAGGCTCCCCTATTTCAATGACCTTCTTCTTCCACACAACATTGATGTAATGCACACAGAAAAGAATATCGCCGAGGCGCTTTTTGCAACACTCATGGACATTCCTGATAAGTCAAAGGACAACGTTAAGGCTAGACTGGACCTGGCAATGATGTGCGATAGGCCAAAGCAAGTGATGAAGCCTCCCACGCCCGGTAAGAAATGGAGAAGGACTCCGGTCGATTTCGTCTTGAAAAGGGACCAAAGGAAGGAAGTACTGCAGTGGATCCAGACGTTAATGTTCCCTGATGGGCATGTGGCGAATTTGAGTAGGAGAGTGAACTTGTCCACTATGCGAGTCTTAGGGATGAAGAGTCATGACTACCACATATGGATTGAGCGGCTCCTTCCTGCGATGACCCGGGGATACGTCCCTGAGCATGTGTGGCGCGTGCTGGCAGAGTTGAGCTATTTCTTCTGCCAGCTTTGTGCCAAGGAGTTATCTCGGGACGTGATTGATGACTTGGAGAAAGTGGCACCTGTGTTGCTCTGCAAGTTGGAGAAGATCTTCCCACCCGGCTTCTTCCTAGCGATGCAGCATCTGATTTTGCACCTACCGTACGAGGCACGAATGGGGGGCCATGCAGGCCCGTTGGTGCTATACAATTGAGAGATGTCTAAAGATTCTTCGGAAAAAGTGTAGAAATAAAGCCAAAATTGAGGCTTCTGTGGCAGAGGCATTCATTCTGGAGGAGGTGTCAAACTTCACAACAACATACTATAAGGATGGTCTTCCCAGCGTGCACA